CTCCAATGTAGCAGGGAACACAGTCAATGTGGGTATGTCAAAATGTAGCCCCAAGTTACAGTGTAATTTCCCTCTGAATGCCAGTTTCCTCATCTGTAAAAAAAATTTTTTTTATGCATATAAGTCCTTAGTAAGAGCCTAAAACAAAGTGTCTAATAAATTGTCGGGATGACAGTGATGATCAGACTGCACAGCTCAGGGCTTAGGGAAAGTTCACCATGTTTGCTGCACAGAAGTGTCAGGGCTGTCTGTTAAAACACACTCCATGCCTGGCTTGTTTGCTGCTTTGCCCCCAGTGCCCGTGTAAGTTTAGGATGGACGTGGGGTTGGGGTGAAGTGAGAAACAGGAGCGTCTCAGGTCTGTCTTTTCACACCTGTGTGCTTCCACACGTGCTCAGACTGCCCTCCCATTCTCTGCCCTTTCCTTCAAACACTCCCACTGAGCCTTTAAGACCCAGCTCAGCAGCTCTTCTCAGTGACATCTCCTTTGAACCCCCAAGTGAACCTGTGATTAGTTACAGCATATGTCCTTCCTGGAGTTTCTCTTCCACTCCCCTGCAGGACCCTGGAGGGCAGGGTGGTGTCATCTTCGACTCCAGATTCCCCAGAGCTGGTCCCCCCGCTGTCTCAGTGGATGGCTGTTGAGTGAATGAATGAGTGAACTGCTTGTCAGTGTGTGGCTGTTAGGCCAACATCTACGTAGTCTGAGCTCCAAGTCATCCTCCCTCAAGTGCAGTCCATCGGCAAGTCCTGTCTGTTTCACCTCCAGACCCCCTTCCAAATCCATCCCTTTTCCCTATGGCCAGCAGTCCTCCTCATCACCATCCCTTACCCACCACTGGCTTTACTGTCCCTGCCTTTTTGGCTCTTTAGTCCAGTTCTTCACACAGTAGCCACAGTCATCTTCAAAAACAGATCAGATCATGTCACTCCCCTGCTTAGAGCCCTCTAGTGTACTCCAAAATCAATCCCAAACTCCCCACATGGCCTGCAAGGCCCTCCGTGCCCTGGTTCCAGCTTGTCTGTCCACTGCCGGCTACTGTCTAAGCTCCAGCCATGGCCATCTGCCTCCATCCAAAGCTTCTAAGCTCATGTGCATCTCAGGGCCTTTGTACTTGCTGTGCCCTCTGCGAACAGTCCTTTTTTTCTTGTGGTTGGCTCCTTCCTAAGATTCAGTTCAAATATCACATCTGCAGAGAGCCCTTCCTTGACCACCCTGGCAAATATTATATTCCACTCTATTTTTTCAGGACATTTCTCATCATCTGAAATTACCCTCTTTGCTCACGTGTATTTTCTGACTCTCACTCTGTAATGTGAATTCCATGGGAGCAAGGCCTGCTCACTTCATGTCCTCAGTGTCTGGAAGGGATTCTCAACCAGGCATCTCTGAATTTGAATGGGAAAAAGTAGACATCTTTATTTTCACAAACTTCTAACTGAAATGTAGCATTTCTCTCAGTTACTAACATAGACAATGAATCAGTAATATTAACAGTATCTGGGACTTTGTCACCAATAAATATCGGATATTTCCCTGTCACGTAATAGCTGTGGGTATCTCAGAATGCCTGCACTCGTAACTGCTTTGAAATTATGGTAGTTTCCAGACTCACCAATAGATCCTGTTATTTAATACAAAAAATAAAAAAAAATCTATCTATCTATCTATCTATCTATCTATCTACCTACCTACCTACCTACCTACCTACCTACCCTTACTTGAAGTATATATATTACTACATTACCAAATGTTTTAAAATAATTTAGTGACAGTACTTTAATGTAATCGATTTCCTGTGTGATTTTATTTTAAGTATTTAAAAACATTGCTGGGAGAAAGGGCCTCGAGGCTTCACCAGACTGCCAAAAAGGTCCAAGGCACAAAACAGCTAGGGACTCCTGGTTAGACTATGCCTGCATGACGCAGGAGCTCAACGGATGGATGGATGGGTGGGTGGATGGATGGAAAGATGGATTGATGGGGGCACATATCTTCCCCCATTCAGATGGGCCCCTGTGTTTCCAGGGTCAGTGTTCTGGTGGCTTGGCATGACCTTGGTGTTTAGGAAATAGCCTTGGTCAAGGTCTTTTGGAAATCTATCTGACCATGAAAAAGAGGATTTGTTACAAAGCAGTGGGAACCGGGCCCAGTGCTCTCCTTCAGACGCCGCTGTCCCTTTAGCTTCTCTCTGTGCATCTCCTTCTGACTGACTGCCCCTGCCCCCAGCAGGATTTGGCCAACTTCTGCTCCTGAGGGTACAGCGCCTCAGCTTGGCTGACCAGCAGAGGTTGGTGTCTGGGGTCCTGAGTTCCCAGGAGAATGAGGCGGCCACTGTGGCCCAGTCAGTCCAGCCTTGGAGGCTTGGTTCCCATCTTTGGGGGCCCACCTGTGGGGTTGCAAAGGGGTTCTCAGGGAGGGGCTTGGGCTGGGCTGACTTCTTTGTTGGGAGTCTGGTTCCTGGCGAGGAGTAGGGGCTTGGCCAGGCCTCAGGGACTGAAGGTGGATGGGTGGAGGTTTCTCTGGGCCCTGGAAAAGATCTTCCATTCTGCTTGGTTCTGTTTTTTTCTTAGCATGTGAAATATCACTTGTCTGAGAATTGCTGCCCATAAATTAGGCTGTTTTCGTCAGTGGCGAGACATGCAGGAGTGAGATCAGAAACAAGTGCTGTCTGTCTTTCTAGCTCAGGCTGCCGGAAGCATAGTGGGGATACAGACAATCAGACTGATACTTCCTTCTTTTCCACCTTTCCCAGTGACCTTCAGGCTTGACCTTGTTCTCCAGGATTGATTATATGATGGGCACCACAGGTCTAGCATGTCCTAAATTAAATTCATCATCTTTTCCTACACCTCTGTCCCTTCCCTTGATGAAGGACATGCCATCCTTCTGGTACCTCCAGCCAGAAACCATTTATCCTCGGCTTATTTTCCCTCCCTCCCTCCCTCATCAATTTCTATTGAATTTCTGCCCTTACTGTCTTTCAATCTGTTTCCTCCTCTCTGACTTCACTGCTACCACCTTAGTTCAGAGGAGCCCCCTCATCTGTTGCCTGGAAAATTGCAGTTGGCTTCCAACTGGTACCTTTGCCTTCTCCTTCCCTTCCCCCATTACATTCTCCCTACTACTCTTGTCACTTTCTTGCAAAAAAGCTGGCGTGGCTATAGTTCTGTGATGTTCAGTGATATGATAAATGCTCTGCTAGAATTTTGTACACATTGGTATGAAAGCAACTGATTTTGCTTTTGGTGGTCCAGGTATGATGACCAGACAAAATGACATTTGAGCAGGATCTTGAATGCTTGATGGGATGGGGAACAGCATGAACAAAGGCACCAAAGCGTGAGTTACTCTAGCTCTCTCTGCTTCAGACTCCTCATGTGTAGTATGGGTATAATCATAGGACCTGCCTGAGGACTGCTGTGAGGGTTAGAGAAATTGAGGTGTATAAAATGCATAGCCCATGGCGAGTACTGTGCAATATTAGCTGTTGCCCACATTATTGCTGGTGACATGGTCTGGTACACAGGAAGACACAGTAGAAGCAGTTTGTCGTCTTTACCTGCCTTTACTTTAAAACAAAGGTCACAAACTTTAGTGCCTGCATAGGCCAGGTGGGCAGCCTCTGCTCAGCACAGCTGATTCTAGTCAGACAGGAGTGTGGGCCAGGTACTGCCAGGTATTCCTATTTTCAAGAAAAGTCAGAAATCCACAATTCTATGGGAAACCTTTCAAGTTTTAAACATTGGTGACTAATTTTAAAATATTAAAACCTATAGCCCAACAAACTACATCTGTGGGCCACATTTATTTATTTATTATTATTATTTTTAAATTCTCACCCAAGGATTCCCCCCCCCCCC